ACCAGAGAGAGACCAGAGAGGGACCATGAGAGAGACTAGAGCAAGGCTAGAGAGGCCAGAGAGTGACCAGAGAGAGCAGAGAGAGACCAGAGAGAGACCAGAGAGAGGCCAGAGAGAGACCAGAGAGAGATCAGAGAGAGACCAGAGAGAGACCAGAGAGAGACCAGAGAGAGACCAGAGAGAGATCAGAGAGAGGCCAGAGAGAGACCAGAGAGAGCAGAGAGAGACCAGAGAGAGACCAGAGAGAGATCAGAGAGAGGCCAGAGAGAGATCAGAGAGAGACCAGAGAGAGATCAGAGAGAGACCAGAGAGAGATCAGAGAGAGATCAGAGAGAGGCCAGAGAGAGATCAGAGAGAGGCCAGAGAGATCAGAGAGAGGCCAGAGAGAGATCAGAGAGAGAGACCAGAGAGAGACCAGAGAGAGAGGCCAGAGAGAGATCAGAGAGAGGCCAGAGAGAGATCAGAGAGAGGCCAGAGAGAGATCAGAGAGAGGCCAGAGAGAGATCAGAGAGAGAGACCAGAGAGAGACCAGAGAGAGGCCAGAGAGAGATCAGAGAGAGGCCAGAGAGAGATCAGAGAGAGGCCAGAGAGAGATCAGAGAGAGGCCAGAGAGAGATCAGAGAGAGGCCAGAGAGAGATCAGAGAGAGGCCAGAGAGAGATCAGAGAGAGAGGCCAGAGAGAGATCAGAGAGAGGCCAGAGAGAGATCAGAGAGAGAGGCCAGAGAGAGATCAGAGAGAGATCAGAGAGAGATCAGAGAGAGGCCAGAGAGAGAGACCAGAGAGAGACCAGAGAGAGAGACCAGAGAGAGACCAGAGAGAGATCAGAGAGAGAGCAGAGAGAGAGACCAGAGAGAGACCAGAGAGAGACCAGAGAGACTAGAGAGAGACTAGAGAGAGAGACACGGTGGCTGAGTGGCTAGCACTCTCGCCTCTCAGCAAGAAGGTCCTGGGTTCGAATCCCGGTTGGACCAGGACCTTCCTGAGTGGAGTTTGCATGTTCTCCCCGTGTCTGCGTAGGTTTCCTCCGGGTGCTCCGGTTTCCCCTACCACTAAAAATATGTACAATAGGTATGGCATGTGCCTCCTGTACTGGCACCCCCACCCAACAATTGTAAACCGCTTTGAGACTCCGATGTGCAGTGAAAAGGCGGTATATAAATAAAGCTTACTTACTTACCAGAGACTGCTATCTGATCTCTCTCTGGTCTCTCTCTCTCTGCTCTCTCCTTTCTCTGATGTCACCACAGTCACAGAACTAACAACAAGCAAAATCTATCAAAGCTGCACTGATAGAAATTCATTAGAATCTTAGAGTTTGCCATAAATTCTCTAACTTTTCCGACATGACAAGCTTTCTCAAACACCTGATTAGGCACCACGGGACAAACACAGACCTACCTCATCTCGAATCCGACCCGCTCAATCCTGACCTTTGGAAAAAAAAAAAAAAAAGCATAAAAAAGTCTACAAATTGTTCACTTTGCAACATGGCAAGTAATAAATCTTTGGGACCACCGGGAAGGGCAGGGACCACCAAACCCGAGACTGAGGCTGGGAGGCAGAGAGACCAGAGAGATACCAGTGAGAGACTAGAGAGAGACCAAAGAGAAAGCAGAGAGAGATCAGAGAGGGACCAGAGAGAGACCAGAGAGAGACCAGAGAGAGACCAAAGAGAGAGAGATCAGAGAGAGACCAGAGAGAGAGATAAGAGAGGGACCAGAGAGAGACCAGAGAGAGACCAGAGAGAGACCAGAGAGAGACCAAAGAGAGAGAGATAAGAGAGGGACCAGAGAGAGACCAAAGAGAGAGAGATAAGAGAGGGACCAGAGAGAGACCAGAGAGAGACCAGAGAGAGAGAGAGATCAGAGAGGGACCAGAGTGAGATTAGAGCGACCAGAGAGAGACCAGAGAGAGACCAGAGGGAGACCAGAGGGAGACCAGAGAGAGACCAGAGAGAGACCAGAGAGAGACCAGAGGGAGACCAGAGAGAGAGAGATCAGAGAGGGACCAGAGAGAGACCAGAGTGAGATTAGAAAGACCAGAGAGAGACGAGCGAAAGATTAGACAGAGACCAAAGAGAGACCAAATAGAGAGAAACCAGAGAGAGACCAGAGCGAGAGTAGAGAGAGACCAGAGAGAGACCAAATAGAGAGAAACCAGAGAGAGACCAGAGCGAGATTAAAGAGAGACCAGAACGAGACCAGAGAGAGACCAGAGCGAGACCAGAGAAAGAAAAGGCTGGGAGGCCGTGGAGGCGGTGGGTCCTGTCGGTGCTGGATGTTTTTGATCATGGGACTCACATAAAAGTGGGTGAAATCTGGACATATGGACACGCTAATAATGCACATAGTGGGCTTTAAGTGTGTGTTTGTAGGTGCAGCTGCGGGCCTCTAACACCATTAGGGCAACGTGTGACGGGATGGGGGCTAATGGGACCAGGGCAGGGGGGGGAGAGAGAGAGGGGAGGGGTGGGATTAAACATGGAGGGCAACAGTGAAACCCTGAGTCTGGACCGGACCAATAAAAACAAAAATTTGGTAAAGACTGGGAGGATTGTATGTTAATGATGGAAGTTATTGTTTGTTTATATTGAGATGGAGAGATGCTTTGTTTGTGCCAATGTGGGGAAATTTCAGTGTTGCATCGCTAGTGACAGAAGGTAAGGATGTAGGAATGAGGAGCACACAGCACAAGATCAGAGTGAGACTGGAGAGAGAGCAGAGAGAAAAGAGAGACTGGAAAGAGAAAGAGGTTGGAGAGAGCAAGCAGAGAGAGAGACCAGAGAGAGAGATCTGAGAGAGAGAGCAGAGAGAGACTAGAGGGAGATAGACCAGGAAGAGAGAGGGAGAGACCAGAGAGATAGACCAGAGAGAGCAGAGAGAGATAGACCAGAGAGAAAGAGCTGAGAGAGACACCAGAGAGAGAGAGCAGAGAGACCAGAGAGAGACCAAAGAGAGGCAGACTCGAGAGAGATAGACCAGAGAGGGAGAGACCAGGGAGAGAGAGACCAGAGAGAGATCTGAGAGAGATCAGAGAGAGAGCAGGGAGAGAGACCAGAGAGGGAGACAAGAGAAAGAGACTTAAAGACCAAAGAGAGAGACCATAGAGAGAGATCAAGAGACCAAAAGAGGGAGACCAGAGAGAGACCAGAGGGAGACCAGAGGGAGAGGCTGGAGAAAGACAGACCAGAAAAAAATTCTTGTATGTAAAAGCTCTTTCTATTCCATTTTGCACAATATGAAACTTTTTATTTCAATGTACACATTTTCATTAAAATACTCAAAGTTTTAAGATGTCCTTCTTTTCCCCTCAGGCATGCTTTATTAGTTCCATGTGGAAATGTCAGTGTTGCATCACCAGTTACAGAAGGAGCACACAGCACAAGACCAGAGTGAGCTCTGGGAGTTCCAGTTGTGTTAAGAATATAATGATCAGCTGTAACTCCCTTTGCTGCCACTAGAGGGAGGAGAAGAAATGTATTTATTTTAAGAAAAATGGTGTGATGTCATAGTGGTACAATGACGTCATACTATTACAGGTTTGAGACAGAACTAGTGTATGTGTGTGTGTGTATGAAGGGGTGTGTGTGTTTTGCGTTGAGACTGGAGCCAAAGAAAGTCTGCTTAATCCCACCCTTTTCCAAATAGTTCATTAATGTTTACTTTGAATCCTGTTTTACTTTTTATGGAGCATGATAAAGATTTTCACATTTAAAATATTTTCAAATTCTTAAAACTTGCCTAAACCTAATGCAAAATTTTCTCATATTTGGGGAAACGCAAAGAGTTAAAGCGGCTTTCAAAACATGTTCCGAGTCAGAAAGAAAAATAAGACAGAAACTTCCGGGTGGATCATTCTGGTGCTACGTGCTCGTCAAATAAGACCAGAGTTCTGTTCAAAAAGTGGAGAGGGCGGTTATTTCTTAAAATGTGTCATTTTGATAATGTAGGTTTTATATATTTTAAAATTTTAAACATTTACACCGAAAATTAGATGACTTGACATAAACATAAGTTTAGCGAGAGTAGCTCAGTTGGTAGAGCATTGGCCTTAGAGCCTGAAGGTCGTGGGTTCGATCCCACCGTAAGACCTACTTCACGACTCCCACTGATGACTACTGTCGTTGTGTCCTTGGGCAAGACACTTAACCCCACTTTGCCTGAAGCTCCCACTGAAAGATCTCAGCTCCTGTGGACTCACCACCTGCAGGAGGATCAGTGAGGGACTGGTGCTCTGTGTACTGGGTGCAGCTCTGACTGCCACCCCCTGACCCAGAAATGGATTAAAGGGAAGAAAATGGATGGATGGAATTTTCTTGAGTTCTGACACATTGTCCGTAATATCGTGATTTCAAATGCGTATAAAATCATAACTTTAAAGATTTAACATGAGAAAATGCAGAATACTGTTGTCTTCCACATGTTTTGAGTCTTCTTGGTGTATTGAGAACTGTACTATGGGCTTACTCTGACATCTAGCGGACAGACAGAGTACTACACTAATGTGACAGGATGACCGGGTTTAAAGGATCTATTATTCTTAATCTAATGTCTTACACAACCAGAGTCTTTTCACCCAGAGTGATCCTATTTATGCCAAATGTCTCAAGTGCATTTCTCCATTGTGACATCAAAAGTTTATATTATTACGCACTAAAGCGTCACAATGTGTCCCGTCTTCCTGTAAATGTGAGACAGGCTTCTTCTCTGACAATGCTCAAATCCAGGTTAAAAACAGTTCTGCTTAACTGTGCTACAACTGAAGGAGCGCTTTTATTGTACCGTGATTATTTATGATTTTACCAAAACTTCTTTCGACCAATCAAAACAAAGCACAGGTTCTTTGAGTCTTGTTTATTGGTGAAACACGTTCGTTACAGAATGTGGACAGTTTTCTTCTACAGTGGAACTCAGGCCTGTGCAGGTTAAACAGGAGGAGGCCAGGACACTACAGGGGTCAGGGGTGAGAGGGGTCAGAGGCGAGAGGGGGCGGGGCTTAGTCACACAGACAGGAAGTCCATGGCCGTGTCGCGCTCCTCCACCAGCTCCGCCGCCGTAGCGTCCATCTTGGCCCGAGAGAAGTCGTTGATGGAGAGCCCGTCCACGATCGTCCAGCTCTTGTTCTGAACACACAGATTACGTTTTTGGAATGCGCTGGAAACGGCCGAAAGTCTCAAGTATCTCCCAAACTGTTATTTACAAATGTTATTTTTCTTGATTTTTTGTATCCGTAAATGTTACTGCAGTTCAGTGTTCATGGTTTTACACTGATCCAGAGCAGAGCAGAGAGGTCCCAACCAAACAGATCAAGAGAATAATTCTGATGCTAATAAGATGAGTAAAAAAGCTAATAAAGCATTCAGAATTTCACCCTGAACCAGAGCAGAGGAAATGGTCCGAATCAAGCAGACTCTGCAAACATCAACCAGAGGGAGCAGCGCGCCACCTGCTGTGCTGTAATAAAGTGCTGTTGCTCTATTCTAGTGTCTCCCAAAGTGGGGTCCGCGGCGAGGGTATTTCAGGGGGGCCGCGAGAGGTCATAAAAAAATAAATATACATGTTTTATATAATTATTGTATGTTAAATTAATAATATTTTGTTTATAAAATTAAAATATTTCTGTTCATTATTTGACTTGAATAATCCAATTGTAAATCATTTCTGTATTACATGTTTGTAGCAGAAGCCATTTCCCCCAAATAAAATAACGAGAACAGCCTATTCTTAATGTTGTCATCTTGGTTAGTATTTCGGGGGCCGCGCAGACCCGACAGATTTTTAAAGGGGCCGCAGTGTTACTGACTTTGGGAATGGCTGCTCTATTGTAATAACCACCAAGTTTAATGTCTTTTAAGCTAAATGTATAATAATGATAATAATAATAATGCATCAGTTTTATATAGCGCTTTTTGGAGACTCAAAGACGCTTCACATGTCATTATTCATTCACTCCATACACGGTGGTGATAAACTACTACTGTAGCCACAGCTGCCCTGAGGCACACTGACAGAAGCAAGGCAACCAGTATGTGCCATCGGCCCCTCCGACCACCACCAACCATTCATACACACACCAACCACAGCATTGATATCATTATGAATCATCATAAACGCAGTAAATCCAAATTTAAAGTAAGGATTGTTAAACCCAGCAGTCTACAGTACAGAGACTAATGGCCTTAGGTCCAGTGTTGTTTGAATCCAAGTAGCTGAACTCATTTTTGTTCATGGAAATATATAAAAACATACCAATAGTCAATATTACTTGTTAAAGAATGGAGAAGATTGAAAAATGGGGGTAAATATATCAGTCCAGGAGCTAAACTGTGCTGCCAAAGTAAAATAGCATGTGCATTTCTTGTGGTTTGTGCAGATGGTAAAGTTGGTAAAGTCAGCACACACTCACATCCCAGCCTCAGGACATTTCTGGTTTGACGCACGAGACACTGACCTTGATCTGAACGGGGAAAGAGTAGATGAGGTCCTCTGGGATTCCATACGAGTTTCCACCAGCGTGAACTCCCATCGAGATGAACTCGCCCTGAAGACAACAACAGTCACCACACTGCCCCCTGGTGGACATACAGACACTTCTCTTTCATAGCAACAATCAGACGCTTAGAAAGTCATAACAAGAAAAAATATGCAAAAGAAGCTGGTACTGCTTAATGACATGTTTCTGCTGTTTTTATTGTTAGATTTTATGTCCAGGTAATCAGCCAGAACTAGTTTTTAGTAAGCGGGCCACTTTTGCCCAGGGACTGACAAGCTGGATTGTAAAACTGACTGTTCTAAGTTTCAAAATTAGGTTTTGTTGTTTAACTTATTCTTCCAGCCCACCCGGATTGGAGCCACTGGAACCGCAGCAGCCTCCCTCCTCACCACAACTTTACCCTTTTAGTCTTTTTGGCCGAGGAATAACAATAGGAAATGAGACGTAAGAAAGAAATTACTATAGAATGATCCAGGCCCAATCAAGAAAAAAAAAAAACAATTGTCAAACTACTGAACTTTCTTTAATCTAGTTCTCGTTCTAGCCGTGCACTTTCTTCTTCTCTCATGTCTTCGAATAAACTGGTTCAATGGCGGTGGAACTCTGACCTCCTTGGTGCCGAACCAAATGTCCCTCATGTGGTCACAGATGGCTTTGGCGGCCGACATGGCGCTGGACAGTTTCCGGGCTTTGATCACAGCTGCTCCGCGCTGCTGCACCGTCTGAAGGACAAATATACACGTGAGAACGGGACTCGAACTTCAAAACACATGCCGAAATATGCAAAGGTTCAGGCTGTATTAATACTTTTCCAAGGCACTGTATGAGCAGATATTTATTTGCAGTGATAGTAAAAACAGTGTCAAAAAGTTGAATAGACAAAGCTAATATTAGAGTGGACTGACTGAGTGTGACTCCACCAATAAGCAAGCTGGAGCCAATTTCCTTATTTGGGCATTTCTCCTGTGGCAGATGTGTTGCCAAGTATGCTTGCTGTGTTTAGTTTAGTTGTATCATTGTTATTTCAATGATAGACAAAGATGCAAAAGAACAGATTCTTTACAGATAAACTAAAAGATTTATTCTTCTCTCAGCGTTTGGCCATGTTAGACTAGTTCTCTTTTGTCATTTAAACACAAAGCTATCACAGGATTCATCCAAGTCTCTATCCATCTTACTATTGCTCATCCAAGTATCCATCTAAGTATCTAAGAACGATGTAAACGTGTGACCCACAGAGATAAAGGCCCCTCGGAGCCAGGCCTCGTCCTTCACGGCGTCGTAGGCCGGCACCGCTGCCCCCTGCTGGGTGACCTTGGCGTGGTGCACGTCCGGATACTGAGTGGACGAGTGGTTTCCCCAGATGATCACGTTCTTCACGTGTTCAGAGGACACGCCGCAGCGCATCGCCACCTGCAGGACAACACTGGTCATTACAAAACCTAACAAATTGACAGGAGAGAAGGCCGAAAGAGGGTTAGACCGGTTCAGAGACTAGGACAGGGGTCTCCAACCTTTTTCAATCGCAGAGCTACTTTTATATAAAAGAAAGGCAGATAGCTACTCCTTTTTACCTGTTGTAAAATAATGTATAATATGATAATAATAATAATATAATAGATTTACAATAAACATGTAATGCATTCGTTCAGGATCATGTCTTGAATTGTCACCATGGCAACCGTAGCTATGCCAATGGTCCCCATAGCAACTGTGGCTATGCCAATGGTTAGCAATCGTTGCTATGGCAATCGGGTTTGTTTATAGTTTCCATTGCGATGGTTGCCAGGACAGTTAAAATCTCAATTTCCATAGCAATGTTCACCATGGTAACCATTGCTCTGGCAACAATCACCATGGCTGCAATTGACATTGCCAAGATGGCTGCCACAATAGTTGCAATAGTGATTTCCATAGCAACGGTCACCATGGCAACTGTTACCAAAGCAACAATTGTCATGCAACTGTTGCTATGGCACCGGTCACCATAGCAACAGTTATGGTATTTGTCACCGTGGCAACGGTCACCATGGCAACCGTTGCTACGTAATGGTCACAGAGGAAACGGTCACCATGGTAACCAAGGCCATGTCAATGGTCAACACAGCAACAATTGTCATGTAACTGTTGCTATGGCAACCATCACCATGGCAACAATTGTCATGTAACTGTTGCTATGGTAATGGTCACTGGGGTAACCGTCACAACTGTCAACGGTCACCATGGCAACTATGGCAATGGTGGCCAGGATAGATGCAATAGTGATTTCCATTGTAACGGTTGCTATGGCAATGGTCACCAAATGGTCCAGAGCGGCTGTCTGCCTGACAGTGGCTGTCCAGGCATACATTACGTAGAAGTCCCATATACATCTCACACGGTTAAATTCAAATATTTTACTACAGCATATTCCAGAAGCTTCCAAACTAGTGAACATAATGAAATGCAAAAAGAGTGCAATAAAACCCACTTTTTATAATCACAATAAAATAAATATCCATGAAAACGTATGAAGGCGGCTGACCTGGGAGCTGGCCCGGTTGTGGTCCAGGCGGGTCAGGCAGGAGAAGTTCTCTTTTGGGATGGAGGGGGCAGACTTGGAGGCGATCAGGCAGTTTGTGTTGGCGGGGTTTCCCACAACAAGGACCTGTGAATAAGTACACACGTTATAAAGAGTTGAAATTCAAAGTTTGTTTATTTAAAAGGAGATAGTAAGTAGTTTTCTAGAGGGGACAATATGGGGAAACAAAAACTTTTCACAGCTGACCAAAGTTATAGTTCACTATATAGCTCACTATATCACCCCTTGTGATTCAGCCACCGGCACCGGGACCTTTTCTCTGATACACTGATGAATGATGACTGATGACAGGGTTTTCAAATAGACTTCTGACCTGGCCATGTTTCAACAACATTGTTTATCCCTTGGACCATCCTAAAAATAAAATACCCTAAAACAAATGTTCTTTTGAGCTGGATTAACTTGATCAGCCCTGGGACATTAAGACCCCTTTTAGACCCTCATTTAGAGTCTACTTAGAGTAATTTTGACTCGAGGCAGCACAATGGTTAATCTCAATATCCCCCTTATTCCTCCTGTAAACTGAGCAACATTGAGACTGAATAAATATTTTCTAATCTTAAGTGTGGTAATAGTTTTTCACCACATCCTCTTGCAGATGGCATGAACAGGACAGACTTCCTCTTCTCTCACTGAAAAGCATCGTCAGTTCCCTTCGCTGCAGACGCATCATTCGACGTGACCTCTAATGTCTAGCGTACATCGGACTGGCAACTGATTATATCCGTCGCATATGAGTTGCTGCCCCGCACACATCGACAATCTGACGAAAACGGGCAACTCCCAGTAGCAGACCAGTCTCGGGAATAACAGCGCGTACATCGACAGCAACTGGCCTCAACTACAGTGTGTTTTCTGACATAAACTGTAGAGGGCGCAATACACGCACGTTGTCGGAGCGGCGCATGGAGCGCACATCGGGTCATATCTCCGAAACTGAGGACAACTATTTGCCGAAAAGTAGAACACGGGCAACTGACTGAAACTGGAGACCGACTGTTTATCTCCAGTTGTAAGAGCGCGCACATCGACCGATTTCGGCAACTGATCATCTCCACCATCTCCTCTCAGTCGCCAAAAGCCGCCTTGCAACTAGTTGTCTCCAGTTTCTCTGTCGATGTACGCTAGGCTTAAGCAGCAGCGTGTTGTGGACTTAAACCACAGCACAAATACTCACAGGAACTTTGATCAGCTTCGAGTCCTGAGTCAGAGGAAATCCACTTTCCACTTGATGAGTCTATAAAGACCTGAGCTCCTGTTTGTGGTCGGGTGTCGTACCTTGACGGTCTTCTTGGCGTACTTGTCCAGCGCGGAGCCCTGGGTCTTGAAGATGGCGACGTTGGCCTTGAGCAGGTCCTTGCGCTCCATGCCCTCCTTCCTGGGCATGGACCCCACCAGGATAGCGGCGTCGATGTCCTTGAAGCCCACCTCCACCTTGTCCGTGGGGATCACCTCTGCACAGGGAGAGCATTGACACGTTAGAAAATACTGAGAAAGAATCACATTTTCACTTTAAGCTCAACTTAAAACTTTACACTTTACATTATCAATATGCACCATTGTTCATCACGTGTCTTTACAAATACACTGATATGTTCAAATCCAGGTTTAAACAGCTCTTTTTAGCTACAACTGAAGGATTGTATCTGCACTATTTTGAATGTACTGTGATTATTTAGTCACATTAACACAAATATACTTGCCATATTCAAAATCCTGCAGAAACTTTCCATCTATCAAACAACTTTTTCCAATTGACATCATTCGAACCCGCTTATAAAACCCACTAACTCTAGTCCATGGCTGTCAAAGTCAAGGCACTATTTTTTGTGGCCCCTAAATGTTTTTTCAATTATTATTAACTAGCAGCATTGATGGTAATGGGCGACCAAAGCAGGTTATACATCCAATTTCTCAGGAAAACAACCAAATTGAACATTTTAACCCAATAACACATCACTAGAAGTTAAACAGTTCAATATAAAATGTGTTTAACTTTATATTTGATCCAGTTTTGGTTCAATCTAAACAAACGCATTTTGTTTTCTGAAAAATAAACCAGAGAATAACAGTGAAACTCATGTCACATTAAAGTCATGTTAAAAAACCTTCATTATGTATTAAACTATGATAAGAAAAAGGACATCTCTTCTGTTGTTAGGGCCCCCGACCGGTTCCTATTCTTTTTAATCGGCCCCTGACCAAAATGAGTTTGACACCCCTGCTCTGGTCCATTTCTGTGCTCATCTTGTGCACACTTGTGACTTTTGCAGCTGTTTTCCAATGTGGTTTTACTGCAAATAAATGAATCTGAATCAGTCTGTACATCCATATAAAGCCTGTGTCTGTAAATAAGTGTTGTACCAATCATCTCCAGTACGTCAGTGTTTCAAGTGTTTTCTGATAACAAACAAACTCCTGGACCCGTGTCTCGATAAGACTCCTTTGCCTCATCCTCTATCGGACTGAACTTTAGACGCTCCTCTCATTGTTGTCCCACCGCCGCTGCGATTGGCCGATTATTGAGGCCACGTATCGGCCAATCACAGCGCTCGCTCCCCACACACCTCCCTCTCCTCCCCCTGTGTAAACTCCATTCATAAAAACCACATGTCCTGCCCGGCAACAAGATGCTTAGTCACTGCAGTGTGTGAAGATTTGGAGGTCGTTTAGGATTGTGTGTATGTTGAGCTAAAAGAATTACTCCCAAATATTATAATTAACTGAAAATAAAATCTATATCAGACAATATTAACGGTTATTATGATCCAGGACATTCCACATTCAACAACATCGGTCTCTGTCCCTTATGGACCCATGTTTCTATGTGTTTTCTATCATTGCATTGAGTATTGTCCAACCATTTCCAAGTTACTACAGTCAAACACATTTCCATATGATACTATAATAACTTAGAATAGTTGGAGAATTGCTAGAGTTTGTTGCTAAAGGAGGTCGTCTCATCTTCCCCGCCATCTTTGATTAGACTCAACTTTATGGTCGTTACAGAGTCAGAACAATGCGACAAAATGCAGTTTAGCATCTAACCCAGGCATGTCCAAACTCAGGCGCGGGGGCCAAATGCGGTCCTCAGTGTCATGTTATGTGGCCCTCTGCCTTGCTAACCCAAAGTAGGCATTGAGATCATAAACACAAGTTCACAGTGTCATCCATCCAACTTCAGCTCAGCCACAATAGACATGTCGTACCTCGTTCTAAAGCCCAGTACGTCTGGAATTCAATCGCTGACTTTATTTGCTCGTACTGTACTTAACCGATGTAATTTTTGATTGTTTCACTTCTGTTAATGATGCTGCTGTATCTGGTGAGATGGTAAACATGTGTCATTCAGCCAACTTCAGCTGTTCTAGATAGTTTTGCATTTACTTCGTCCTACCCCTTTTCAAACTGTATTTTTGCCAGTCCAGACCCTGATGTCGGCCCCTGGACTAGACCAGTAAACTAAAGTGGCCCTCTTACCAAAATGTTTCCTAGTTTGTGACTTCTTGTTACTCACATGGCAATAAAAGGATTCTGATAACTACTGCTGCAATTTAAGTCTATACAAAAATACGTCGAATTGTGCAAGAACGCCAAGTAGTCGTGTGTGTATTTAGTCTCACCCCTGAGCAGAGGCAGAGCACAGTCCTGCAGCTCCATCACCACACCGTCCAGCACCGGCAGCATGGGCGGGATGTCCAGCAGGATCAGGACGATGGGCTGAAGACGGGGAAAGAAAACAGTGTTAAAGAGTTACAGAAATGTTTAACCTTTGACCCCTCAAACCAGTCAATTCGACGGCTTTTCGCTTTGGAAGTGTAGTGATATATATGAGTTTTTTTGGTCTTCATAACAGTGACTTTTTTACTTATATATTTTGATTTATTAGTCACCAATCATACATTCACAATATTTACATACAAAACATACACAACATAACATTGTGACCTTTCCTGTATCTATATGTAGTTTATTTCTATGTCGTTATGTCTATGAAATTATCCCGATCCTAGAACAGTGTGGAGCAAGTGCTAGTTACCATAGCAACACGCCGTTTACTATCATCAGTTAGCATTTAGTTTAGCTGTATTTCGATTATTTATATTGACCAGTTGAAGCAAGTATTTAAAGGGAAAAAAAACAAACTGATTTTTTTCCAGAATCCCATTAATTTGAATGGGAACCGTTAAAATGACTGTCGGGGAGTTCTAGTGGTTTCTGAGAAGGTTAAAGAAAAAAAAGTGAGTGATAAAAACAATGACGACAGCTCCATGTTTGTTCAGGAAATACAGCAGTTGTGTGTGTTTTGGTTTAGGTCAGGGCTCAGGGAGAGGGTGGAGGTTACCGAGGCTGGACATGGAGCTAGAAACCAAACTTATTTTAGTCTTTTATCCCTAAAACCAATTGCTCTAGCCGATTTCTGCAGCATTTATTGTTACACATATTTATTATTTTGATAAAAGATTAGCTAGCAGATAATCTTAAATTAAGTATCTCAGTGAATATGGAACTTTTTTTTTAAACATTTGCCCAAAACAAAGCTGATGGCCCTCCTACACATTGGGTTGTTTGGTTAAAAATACTTTGTAAAAATGTCTAGATTTCATTCTGCAATCATTACAGAAGTATGAGAGTCATCAAACCTGTTCTCAGCAACGTGGATGGTTCAGGAAATGTCAACTATGTAATTATTATTCAGGTATTTCAATATTACTTATTAATAAGTAACTGAAACATTACTCATGAAGAAACTGATTTAAAATAGTGCATTGTGGGACTATTGGGATAGTTCTGAACGATATTGTAAATTAGTCCGATATTCGATACGAGTGTTAAGTATTGAGATAACGATATTATTGCAATATTTTTATCTTTTACCTAAAATCAGCATTGAAACGCAAGAGACACATAAAAACATTAATGACATTCAAATCATTGTGCGCTCTGCAGAGGAAGTGATCGGCCGCAGCCTTCCATCGCTGCAGGACCTGTACGTCGCCCGAGCTCGAGGCCGGGCTGGTCGTATCACAGCCGACCCCTCTCACCCTGCACATGGACTATTCCAACCACTCCCCTCAGGCAGGAGGCTGCGGTCCATCAGGACTAGAACCTCCCGTCACAAGAACAGTTTCTTCCCCTCTGCTGTTGGACTCTTGAACACTTCTTAAGCTGTCCCCCCGCCCTTTATAAAGTCACTTTACTGCCCATCATACGTCACTTTACTTCACTGTACTGCTGTCACCTTACATTGTGTGCACCATGTGCACTTGTATATTGTAAATAGTAACTGTAACTCTATTTTAAATTTAAATTTATTCTTTAGAAGTGTTTTTTATTCTTATTTTTATTATCTCTTTTTGACTGTTGCACTGAGCCAAAGCAATTTCCAAGTCTGTGACTTCCTGTTACTTACGTTGGCAATAAAAATGATTCTGATTCTGATTCTGATTCTGATCATACATTTATATACATTGTTGTATTTGTTGAATGTTGTGTGTTTTGTTGCCTTCAATATAAGGAAAAATATTTGGTTTGTGCATATTTTCGATATGGAAATTGCACGCACCAATATCGCGATAACGATATTTTTCCATTATATCGTGCAGCCCTAGTATGGGATCTTCAGCATTCATTTTGTACATGCATTTACTACGATAAAAGATCCATATGTCCCTCAGTCGAGACATTTCAAAACTAGTCATTAGTTATACTGTTGCCTTGAAATCACAGGAACTTTATAACAAATGTCAAAAGAAAGTGATGATCCAGGACACGTAACATTTATTGACATTTGTTGACCAATGTCTTCTTTTTTTCACTTCCTGTGTATTTCCTGTGTTTGAACGGTGTGATTCTCTGATCTGTTGACTGTTTTGTAAAGTTCTCTGGAGGAAACTGCTGTGATTTAGGGCTGTACAAAAATACATTGAAATGGATTGAACCTAGAAAATCATAGGCCTTTCTAAACACATTGTTTGGATATTTTCACCCTTCAAAGAGACAGGATATAACTGTTTGGTCTTCCTTTTGCTCCTGTTTGTTCAAGCCTCACAAATGTAAAGCCAATATGTACTGTATGTGGTTTGTATGTGTATATATATATATATATATATATATATATATATATATATAGCAGCTGGATAGCTCAGTTGGTAGGGCACAGGACTGGGACCTGGGAGGCCAGGGTTCGAATCCCACCGGGAGCACATTAACACCAACATCCAGTGAGGGTCCTTGGGCAAGACCCTTAATGCTACTGCCTAACTCATAACCATGAAGGTACAAATAAGCAATGAGATGCCGGATCAGCCGTCGCCCGGCCAAACAAGGTCTGCGTCAGGTGCTGGGGAACCAGAGCACCTTGATGAAAAGTGGGCTACTGGAACAAGGCGAAAGTGGACGAGATGCGATAACAGGGCTCTGTTGGAATGCTACTACTCGAGTAACCCTGGCCAAAGAGGTTACATGCAGAGAATGTGGGCTGAATGGTTACTTCGAAACCCACAGTCACAGTTGACCCCGAAACAACTGGTAGCTCAATGCTCCAACATCCACAAACGGCAACTGCTATCACAGCTTGAGATTGATGAAGTACAACACATGTATGATGCCACAGTTGCCGAGGTCAGAGGGGAGATCCCACCAACTGCAACCCCAACCAGATATTGGGTACATAGCCCCAATGGAACCGATAACGCTGAACGAGGCAGCGACTGACCTGAAAGCTAAGATCATGGCTAGAATGGGCACAGGGCAAAGACACCGGTTACAGCGGTTGTGTGAAGTACCACCTAAGGATCTCATAGAAAGCGTGAATGCAGCAGTGAGGGCAATACCTACCACCACAATCACTGAAACCAATGAGCTGATATACACTTCAGCAGCAGTGATCCTAGAGATGCTTGGCTATAAGAGCAACCATGGGAGCCATGGACAATACCCACCATGGAAAAGACGGTTGGAGACTAAGATCAAGGCGGCTCGGAGAGAAGTGAGTCAATTAACAGAGGCCCAGAGAGGTGCAATGAAAAGACCAGTACCCAGAAAGTACAGCCAGATGACCATACCTGAAGCACTCGAAACTGCCAAACAAAGGCTCCAAGCCCTGGCCAGCCGCCTACAGAGGTACACTAAAGAGAATGAAGCCAGAAGGGTGAACAGGCTGTTCGCAACACAACCTGCGAAGGTGTACACTCAGTGGCAGGGTAACAACAGGGGACCAGATCCACCGAGGCTGGAAACTGAACAGTTCTGGAGGAACATATGGGAGAAGGATGCAGCACATAACAGAAGTGCACAATGGCTGGTGTCCCTGAGAGAGGAGCACAGCCACCTCCCAGAACAGAACTCAGTTACCATCACAGAGGCAGACATCCGAGAAAGAGTCTCAGGTATGAAAAACTGGACAGCACCTGGCCCTGATATGGTCCATGCCTACTGGCTAAGGACACTCACATCACTCCATGAGCGCCTAGCAGCACAAATGAACCAGCTGCTGAGAGATGGGACTCACCCAGAATGGCTAACCGAAGGGCGAACGGTCCTGATCATGAAGGACCCTGTCAAGGGTGCAGTCCCCTCCAACTACCGGCCAATAACCTGTCTCTCCACAACATGGAAGCTCATGTCAGGCATCATTGCGGCTAAGATAAGTGGGCATATGGAACAATTCATGAGCACAGCACAGAAGGGCATTGGTAGGGACACCAGAGGAGCCAAACACCAGCTCCTGGTTGACAGAACAGTCGCCCAAGACTGCCGGTCACGACACACCAACCTGTGCACAGCCTGGATTGATTACCAGAAAGCCTACGACTCAATGCCACACACATGGATCATGGAATGCTTGAAGTTGTACAATATCAACAGGGCTCTAAGGGACTTTGTTGCAAACTCGATGGGAATGTGGAAGACCACCCTTGAGGCAAATGGCAAGCCGCTCGCACAAGTGACCATCAAATGTGGTATCTACCAAGGAGATGCTCTGTCCCCACTACTGTTCTGATAGGCCTCAACCCTCTAAGCCAAGTAATTGACCAGACTGGCTATGGATACCGCCTCAGGAACGGAGCAAAGATCAGTCACCTCCTCTACATGGATGACATCAAGCTGTACGCCAAGAGCGAGAGAGACATCGACTCTCTGATCCAAACAACCAGGATCTACAGCCATGACATCGGGATGTCATTCGGGCTCGAGAAATGTAGCAGGATGGTGACTCGGAGAGGCAAGGTAGTCCACACAGAAGGGATCTCACTCCCAGAGGGAACAATAGCAGACGTTGAGGACAGTTACAAGTATCTCAGTATACCACAGGCAAATGGCAACCTCGAACAGGTGACGAGGAAAGCGGCAACTGCCAAATACCTCCAGCGAGTAAGGCAGGTCCTAAGAAGCCGGCTCAATGGCAAGAACAAGGCCCGGGCAATTAACAGCTACGCCCTGCCAGTGATCAGATACCCTGCAGGAATAATCAGGTGGCCAAAGGAAGAGATTCAGACCACGGATGTTAAAACTCGAAAGCTCCTTACCATGCATGGCGGGTTCCATCCCAAATCCAGCACCCTGAGACTGTACGTAAGCCGTAAAGAAGGAGGCCGAGGACTAGTGAGTGTGAGAGCCACTGTCCAGGACGAAACATCCAAACTCCATAACTACATCATGGAGAAGGCCAAAACGGATGACGTACTCAGTGAATGTCTCAGGCAGTGGCGAGATGAGGAGGTGCTGGAGGAGAGCCCATCATGGGAGAACAAGCCCCTACACGGCATGTACCACCGGAGCATAACAGAAGTGGCTGATCTCAAGAAGTCCTACCAATGGCTAGAAAGGGCTGGCCTACAGGACAGCACAGAGGCACTCATCATGGCTGCACAGGAACAGGCACTGAGCACCAGAGCGATTGAGGCCCAGATATACCACACCAGACAAGACCCAAGGTGTCGGTTGTGCAAAGAGGCACCTGAGACGATCCAACACATAACTGCAGGGTGCAAGATGCTGGCAGGGAAGGCCTACATGGAACGCCATAACCAAGTGGCTGGCATAGTGTACAGAAACATCTGTGGAGAGTATGGGCTGGAAACCCCAAGGTCTAAGTGGGAAACTCCTCCAAAGGTGGTGGAAAATGAGCGTGCGAAGATCCTGTGGGACTTCCAGATACAGACCGACCGAATGGTAATGGCAAACCAACCTGACATCGTGGTGGTAGACAAAGGGCAGAGGACAGCCGTGGTGGTGGACGTGGCAATTCCAAGCGATGGTAACATCCGGAAAAAAGAACATGAAAAGCTTGAGAAATACCAAGGTCTCAGAGAGGAGCTGGAGAGGGCCTGGAGGGTAAAGGTGACAGTAGTGCCCGTGGTGATCGGTGCACTCGGGGCAGTGACCCCGAAGCTAGATGAGTGGTTACAGCGGATCCCCGGAACAACCTCGGACATCTCGGTCCAGAAATGTGCAGTGCTAGGAACAGCAAAGATACTGCGCAGAACCCTCAAGCTCCCTGGCCTCTGGTAGAGGACCCGAGCTTAGAGAGGGATAACCGCCCGCGGAGGGCCAAAGGTGAAATTATTTTTATGAGGACATAGACAAAGGAATGAATGAAATAAGATAAGATAAACAAATTGGTCTGAAACAAGTAAACTGAGCCTTCTCTTCTCGTAATGACGTGTGATTTATGAACGAGCGTTGACTGCCGACAAACGTGACCCTGGTATTTCCATGACTTTTGACCCTGAGACATGTGGCACGGACAGAAGTCGTGTGATCGAGTGACGGAGAATGTGTAAAACTGTGGAACGTAGACATCACTCAAAGAGACGACTGAAGAAACCCAAACCCAGACTCCCAACGCCGAGGTCCAACATGGAGGTCTATGGGTCTAATACATGTAAAAAGGCCAATATTTCTCCTGTTGACAATATTCAGTACTGTTTAAAACGGCCGATTGAATAAGTTTTGACACCATGCCTGACACAAACTCCTGCTACACTATATTTTCCAAATGAGTGTGGTACAATGTGTGTGTACGCGTGTTCATATGCTGTCAGCGTAAAAAAAAAATAAAAAAAATAAATAAATCATACACACAAAAAAAAAAATGAAAATCCACAATTGCCACCACCACATGAAGTCATAATATGCAAATAAATGTACCCATCTAAATTCATACATAAACTTTGGGCCACCCTTGAAATTTCTCTAAGAATTTGTAAAGTCCACCATGACGACTACGAATGTGATTTCGGATTATACCCTTAAAAAAACCCAAAACAATATTTCTTCCCAACCCAGATAAGCTGAATCTATACCCAACAGTATTGTCCAACCATTTCTAAAGTTAGTAAAAAAATAAAGGTTGGACCCCACAGACGAGGACACACACCTGGTCCTTCTTTTGTAAACCAAGTCCAATGCATTCGTACAATGGAAGCAATGTCTCGCAGCCACTCGCCAAGATTTTATTTATAGATTAAGTGATACAGTTTTATCCAATGGAAAAACACAACAGTCCAATATTTATAACATCTGCATCAACCATAGCTAATGTTGCGCCCAATTTATTTATTTAGCGTGTGTGTGAGGTTTGGTTTAGTTGGGGGCGCACATCAGGGTTTGACATACAAGTTTTGACTGAACTACTGCATTTTTCAGTTTCCATGTCCTACAAATTTGATTTTTTGTGTTTCGTTCAGTGGATTAAGGCCCAAAGTGACTACAGTGGATCTTTTTGGTCACTTCAGTTAGTAACAGAGCCTCAATTTAAATATGAAAAACTGGTCTTAAACATGACATCCCAAAACTGGCAGCTCCGTATTAAACGGGCATGAGTCCATTATGTAACACCGGAAGAATCCCCCAGCATCCTTTGCAAGAGAAGGCTCAGCTGTTATGTAATGAGGAATCTGCTTCATCACGGTCACATTTAGACCCTTCACATCTCAACTAAGTAAGTTATGTTTATTTATATAGCGCATTTACAGACCAAGGTCACCCAAAGAGCTTTACAATGTTCAGATATTGTTCCAATCACTCCACACACGGTGATGATCTCAAATCTCATCTTGACATTATTATTAAAACAGTATTGTGACGGGTTGGGGCAGAACCTTCTCAGGTAAAATTCAAGTCAATATATTTCTTGGATGGCTTAATGTTGCTGATTCAACAAACAACAGATCAGAGAATCAAGAAGCTCGAACAAAGAACATTTAATTAAACACATAGAGCCATTGGTTCACAGGGAGCGTGACAACCACCGTCCTTAAATGTTCTTAAATGTTCATAAATGTCCCAGATCGCGACCGTCCTTGGACCCTCCTGCATCTGTGAGCAATGACTTAACTTTTAAATTCGCTGGAAACCGCAGCAAGTCCTAAGTTGCTCTGAAACAGCTGTTTTGTGTTTTACGGCCGTTATTGTTCTTGCTTTTTTTCTATCTGTAAATGTTACTACAGTACAGTCTTCATGGTTTTACACTGATCCAGACCAGAGCAAAGAGGGTGGTCCCAACCAAACAGATCAAGTGTAAATCCACTGGAGAAATGCTAATTGTTATTTGAAAAATGCTAATAACGTATTCAGAATTTCACTTCGAACCAGAGCAAAGAGGGTGGTCCCAACCAAGCAGATGCTACAGATATCAACCAGAGGAAGCAGCTCCTCACCAGCCTCTACAACCACCTCTGCAGCTGTGACCTAAGGTGCTGTTGTATTTTACCACTTTTGTCAGCTACATTTAGAATTACATATTTATTTTGTTTGTTTTTGATGGATGCGTTTCTGATGCTGCTGGACACCTACACTTCTCCACAGGGTTCAATAAAGTATCTAACAACAAAAAACCCAGTAGGAGCCAGTGAGAAACTTCTGGGAGGCCATGTTTACGTGTAAAGTCTCACCTGGTCATGGCCGAACACGTCTCCTTTGGCGATGCTGAAGAGGAGGGAGTAGGCGATCTGACCAGCGGCGCCGGTCACAACTACACGGATCGGTTCAGCCTAAAAACACACAAGAGATTTAAAAACATGGAACACAATGGCAGCCGCTGGTACAAACATGGAACCAGTGTCGCAGTTGTCGGACGCCTTTTTACTATATATAAATTATCAGAGATTTTCAGGGAGTCAATTTTTCAAGCGTCAAAGATATGCACAAAAACCAGTTATTTGATGATGTGAAAATAAATTAGTAAGTTATCGTCGCTCCGGTCGTTCCTATGGCGACGACATAGGGCTTGACCCACTTTTCTACAGCATGGACCTACAATATTTCATTAGACACAGTGCAGCTCTTTATCAAACCAAATACACTTTCTCAAAAACCAGAAAAGTGATGAATAAAACTTAAAATGTTGAAACCAAAGCCACTGCACCAACGATTACAAACAGCAACCTTTGAAACGAAAGATTAGGAAGATCTTTGCTTATCGGTCCAGTCTCCGTTGTCCAATAGTTTCTACTCTAATCTAATCTAATCTCATGGGAGAATCGGACACCTTGAACAGTCGTCCTGAAAATGTGAGACAGGCTTCTTCTCTGACAATGTTCAACTCCAGGTTAAAAACACTTCTGTAGGATTGTGCTTAGCGTGTGATTCTTTCATAGTTTTGTAACGCACTTTTGAGTTTGCAGTGTTTGTATTGTGCTATATCAATAAACTAGCTTTGCCAAAATTGTGAATATATATAAAAAAACAACGTCTCTATATTGATCAAACTAAGTGCATGTGTGTGCAATGACCTTGTGAGAGAGAGCGGGCGTGGACAGAGGACACGACTGGTTTGATATACCATGTGAGACGCCAAAACATTCCATTTTATTTATAGTCCCAAAGAAAAGTTTAAAACATTGAAAGATGAAGAGACGCAAACTTATTGAAAAACTGTAGAGCGGTTTTTGTGACTGCATTCTTTAGGCAATTTTCCTTCAGAACGTCGAGAGACAGGTTGAATTTGGAATAAATAGTATCACTCAGGGTGTAAAAAAAGACAGGAAGTGTGCAAACATTGTAAAAATATATATATATCTTTCACAAAAGAGACTAATGTACAATAAAAATCTAAAGTGACTAGCAGTGAGACCGCTTTCAGTCCTAAATTCATTAAAGTGCCTTACAGTCTGACAGCAGTGGGGATTAAGGCCCTGCAGCAGCCCTCCTCCTGGCCTCCTGTTGGGACTCTATAGAGGAGCACAGGGACTGGGCTACTCCTGTTGGGACTCTATAGAGGAGCACAGGGACTGGGCTACTCCTGTTGGGACTCTATAGAGGAGCACAGGGACTGGGCTACTCCTGTTGGGACTCTATAGAGGAGCACAGGGACTGGGCTACTCCTGTTGGGACTCTATAGAGGAGCACAGGGACTGGGCTACTCCTGTTGGGACTCTATAGAGGAGCACAGGGACTGGGCTACTCCTGTTGGGACTCTATAGAGGAGCACAGGGACTGGACTCCAGCTGGTCCCAGAGTCAGGACTAAACATGAGGAGGCAGCATTTCAGAAAAAGTCTTGCAGAACATGCGAGACAGACTCCAATCCAGGTTAAAAACAGTTCCATTTAGCTGTGCACACAACTGATGGATTGTATAGTCACTCTTTTTAACGTACTGTGATTATTTTAATGCCTTTGACTGTTTCTAGGTCGTTTTGTTCCGCCCTGTGAGTTTCCTTTTCTCTGATCTGTGCTTTACAGACTTGCCCAATTCTGACACAACCTATTGGTCCATGATCCAACACATATTGATTTGCTGCATGCGTCATTCAGCTGCAGAGACGTGCTCCTAAAAGGTATTTCTCCATCACGAGGCTGAAAACTCCAACCTCTAACACCACGCAAAGAAAAAAAAAGAGGCAGACACCACTTGTGATCATTTGGAGTTACACAATGTCATTCATTCATTGTCGCCCAGTCTCAAAACCACGGACGCGGATAATCCATTCAAACTCTTGGCAAGGCCTGTTCTGATTGGTCCTCAATGGGAGAATTAAAAAAATAGGGCGATGACGCAATACCCACGCCACTGTGGTCAAAGATGGAGGAAAAGAGGAAAGAGACGCTTTGATACTATGATACATACACTGCAAAAAGCTCTAATGAGTGCTCTCCTGGTGCACACTGGACTACTCTTGCACAATTTTTCTAATGTGGGTTTACTGCAAATGGTAAATAATTTCTTGAAAACGCGTGCGTAACGTCAACCCTGGCCTTGATGGCGTAAAAAGTGCGTAATGGGGAGAATTCTAGCTTGGATCAAAACAGCGAGAGGAGAGTGTGCATCCTCTTTCTGACTCGTTCCAACTCTAGTCTAAGCCCTGAATGTGTCATTGTCTGGAGAGATGGAGTGCACTGGATCAAACGCGGGTCTGAAATAGTATCTTTGAGTTGTGGATGCGCGTGTACGGAGGCCCGGGTGTAGTCTTACCATTGCAGCGGGGTGGATGAGTTCTGTGCAGACTGTGGTGCTCTGGGTTTGGAGGAAGGAAGGGTCACCTCTGCTCTTACCCTTGTACCGAAGCTCGAGTCAGGCGCTGGAGAGACACACGCCCCCTAGGCTTCTGGGAAATGTAGTTTTTTGTGTGCGCGTTACGGGGATGCGAGAGGCAAAGAGGACTTCATCTCCCACAATGCACTGTTCTCGGCTTAGAAAACTCCCCTTCTGTCATTGCCATACACGGGCGGATTTGTGGAAAATGTTGGGTGTTTGGGGGCATCTAGTGGTTGTGAGAGGTATTGCAGAAGGTGATGGGGCAATATAGACACAAGGTAAATTTATCTGTATAGCACAGGTCATACACACGGCAACTCAAAGTGCAGAACAGATACCCAGCAGCACAGGGACTGGCCTCCTGCTGGGTATCTGTTCCCCAGCAGGAGGCCAGTCCCTGTGCTCCTCAGAGTCAGAGTTGGTTCATATGGCATTGGACAAAGACACTAGCTCGGTAGAAAACGTTTTTTAAAAAGTATATGTATTTAAAGTATTAATTACTACTATATTAGCTATACCAGTAGCTCGCAGGCTTTCAGGTAGCTCCCCAAAGGATTTAGAATCTAACAAATGGTCTTGAATTAATACATTTTTAGTCATTACCGTTCTATTACAAGTATAAATATAGGGTTTTTTCAGTATTGTACATTGATTTTTAAAATAATGAGTAGCTCTCTGCCTCTTTTGTTGCATAAAAGTAGCTCTCCCATTGTAAAAGTTTGGGGACCCCTGCTTTAAAGTATGACCAGATTATTATCACTTATTCAGAGCAATACATGCAGTTTTAACAACAAATACAACAGAATGAGTGGTTTGTTTTAGTCCAAGATGGAGATGGCAGAAGTAAGAAATAGTACGAAACAATTAAAACGCAAGAACTTTAAATTTCAGATGTTTGGGTTTAAAACTATGGAGTAAAATAATAATTCAACAGCAAGTACATTTTGGAAAAACCTTGTTAAAGTGAAAGAAAGAAAACATGTAAATACAAATGATTGGCCGTAACTTCTGGATGACTTGTTTGGTCACGTGTTTTCTGGACCACAGGACTGAGTCTGGACCAGAGCTGGAACCAGGACCACGACCAGGACTCTCTGAATTAATGATGGCTCTGGGCCCCGGCCTCTCATTTCTCCAACACGCTCAGGTTTCACACCGGAAAAAACAAGGGACAATCGTTTATGCTGCTTTTAAGGAAGAGATTTTGATACTGACACAGACAGACAGAGACAGACAGAGACACAGATGGACACAGGCAGACACAGAAAGACAAAGACGGAGACACACAGACACAGTGAGACAGACACATACACAAATAGACAGACAGACAGGCAGACACACACAGACATAGACAGACACAGATAGACAGACACATGGAGACAAAGACAGACACAGAAAGACAAAGACAGATTCAGACAGACAGACACAGACAGACACACAAATAGACAGACAGACAGACAGACACAGAAAGACAAAAACGGACACAGACAGACAGACAGACACAGACAAACAGACAGACACAGACAGACATAGCTACAGAAAGACGCAGACAGATACACACAGACAGACACACAGACAGATGCAGACACAGACACACAGACAGACAGATGCAGACACAGACACACAGACAGACAGAGACACAGTCAGACACAGACAGACAGACACAGACTGGCAGACAAAGACAGACACAGACAGACAGATACAGACAGACAGACACAGACTGACAGACAAAGACAGACACAGACAGACAGACAGATGGATAGATAATGGTGGTGTTCTGGGAAGTCCATATAGATTCACATGACACATTGTTACTCGGGTGACAGTGTTCCCAACCACTAGCATCACAGCTACATCAGTGCCATATGTAATGTTCTGCCACAATAAAAATCAAATGTCCGTCTACACTAATACACAAAACAAGTAATAAACAACTGGATTCCAGAGATTCTAAGCTATAACAAGGCAGAGGGCCACATACAACCACACAGAGGACCACGTTTGGCTCACGGGCCTTAGTTTGGAATCGCCATAGCAACCATGTATTAAAAGCTGACCTAATTTTGAAACCACAATTGGCCCTAAAATACACCTAACATTGTTCTTCTGTCGCAAGTTTTCACATTTACTATTTTTAGACTCTGTCACATCTTTAGAGTGAAGAAGAGAAGCCATCTGCACATAAAAGCTTGTTCTTGAAGCTAAGCAGTGCAGAGGCTGGTTAGTAAAATGATGGGAGACCTACACTGAAAATGTTATAGCAAAGAAAGACATCCGTTTTTGTCGGTTTAAAGTTTGGTGCCTCAGCTTAAAGTGGATCAAACTTACACAATTTGACAAACCATAATCTAAAGAAGAATCGTAGTTTAACATGTCATATTGTGGGAATCTATCTGCTTCTCTCTTTGCTGACTTAGTTAAAACGGCTTATGCTTGCTTGTAAATAAACGCATGAGAGGTATGGTGCAATTAAAACCTTTTACTAGGAAATAATGCTAAATAAGACATGACCTTGACATTTGTAGGAATAAGGCAAGAAAACAAGAACCAGTCCGGTAGCAAAAAACCCAAAAAAAGGTAAAATGTTATTCTCACACTGTGGCTTTATCAATAGACTATTATGACTACTTTTTATATTTATGTGTCATTCCACCTTAAATAACCCCATTTGCACAGGCAGCATTTATGCAGAGTCAGTGCCTTTTCTGTGGCCTGTGTATAAAACCAAAAAGGAGTAGAAGACTTCTCAATTATATGGGACGTGATGGCGCGTGGTTGGACTCACCTCCGAGGCCACCGCGCGCACCACCAGGTACATGGAGGTGAGAAGCGTCAGCATGGTGCGTCAGTCCCGGTGTGCGTCTGTCCCCGTATGGAGCGCAAGATACGGATCTGCAAACCCACGGAGGGAGAGGCAGCTGTGGCCGAGTCTACACTGCGACTGTCCCGGGACGCCTGCCGCCTCCTCACGGTCCTCTCACTGTCCTCAAATCCACCCCTGGTCCAGTGTACGAGCACGCGCACACGCACAAACTCTCACACAGGAGCGCGCACTGCAGTCTAGGCTTCTAATAAGATTGCATGGACAGAAATAGCCGCGTGGATGAACTGATAAGCCTTGTTTACTGCAGTGATTAAAACTTATGGTTCATTTGGTGATGTTTTGGCGCGTGCACGATCTGCTGCAATTTTATTCAAGATTATTTTTCTTTAATGAGGCCATTTACTCCCCCCGCATTTCTTTAAATTATGTTCTGCGTAAAGGTGTAGGGTCTTTGATTTACACTTTACGATAATTGGGGAATTAAAAGTCATTCTATAGACCTTGATCTGCAGTGTCGATGAACCTGTCAGCAGAGGGCGCTGTATGCACATAGAATTTTTCAAGGCAAGGTCCTGGGTACAGCACTGTTCATTTACGAGGCAACTCAAAGTATGTAACAAAACATAGAAGACAGAAGCAATCATTTAAGACATTTAATACAATTTACAAAAAAAAAACTTGTGAGAAAATGTGAGAAGCCTGTCTCAAATTTTTAGCTGCAACAATCTGAAAAGCAGGAGGCCGTACACACACGCACACTGGCCACACACATGAATATATATAGATACAATAAATGAATAAATAAAAAATAAATGCATAGACAAACATAAAAATAAATACTTAAATAAAAACTTTAAGGAGCCAAAAAACATAGGGCATATAATGAACAATATACCGTTCATATGTAGAATCATACACATGAGGCTTTGCTCTGGGATCTCCATAAATGCGTTGGCTTTTACAATCAATCAATTTTTGTTATAGAGCCCGTGAGAACACTCAAGGCGATCAATGTGCTTTACAAAAACATCACATAAAAACATTCATGCAATCAAAAAGATAAAAGTTTAAAAGCATTTAAAAAGTGCCAGCGTGCTGATGAGTGTTAAAAGTGTTACAGTCTTTTAGAAGGTCGGGACCTGAAACCCACCAAGACAATGCAATAGAAAACAAAACAATAGAATAATCCACAAAACGTTGCACATGTTTCATGTTTGGAGAGAAGAAAAGTACACAATGCATGTTTCTCCCACTGATGTCTGCTGTCGTTGTGTCCTTGGGCAAGACACTTTACCCACTTTTCCGATAAGGAACGCGGAAGTAACGTACGCTGCATGCCTTTATGTGTATTTATAAAACTAAAATTTACCCACTGTGGGACAAATAAAGGACCATCTTAAAACCTAGTTAGTTATTATTATTCACTTACCTTGTGCTACGTGCTACGTACTTAACTTGCGATGCAACACTGAAATTTCCCCACTGTGGGACGAACACAGGATCTCAGTTCATCTTAAAGACCTTATGACGGGTTTGATTTATTTAGAAATACAGTTTTAATACCATTTTATATTAGAAGAGAACTACTAAAGGTTTCAAAATCAGTTGTTGTTTTTTTGTCTGATCCCCCCAAATCGAAATAACCCCATAGCAACGCCCTTAGAAACGAAAAAACTTCACAGCCCTTGGTGATGTCAGAGTGGGTACGTTTCAACGCTGTAAGTTGTTTACAATTTGGTATTCGTTCTTTTTTCGCAGATATTCAAGATCACAAGTTTGTGTACAGCGAGTATTAAATTAGTACTAGAATGTAACATTTTGTTGGCACTGAGATAGTCCAGTGGTTGTGTCGATGAACAGCCAATTCAGACACTGGGGTTCAAATCCCACCTCAGACACTTTTTCACACTCAAAACGGCAATTTATGTGTAGTGAGCAATTGTCACCTGTAGAGTGCAGTATTGTGTTGGGCATCAGTGGAGAGAAGAGAGAAAAGGCAGTCCTGTGGCATAGATCCATGGTTTTCAATGCATGGGCGTTACGCGCTATGACGTCACACACAGGTTAGAGCATAGACAACTTAAATTCATGAAAAACACGTTCTTTTTATAAAATACAGGATTTTTTTTGCCGGAATCTCTTTCAGATTGACATTGTCATGCAATTTTGATATCCACAATTTTTTTTTTTAAACCCGTCATAAGGTCTTTAATCTTGATATTCCAAAGTACACGTCAAAGAGGAGGCTCTGCTGTTATAATATTAATGTTAATTTTTTTTGTGAAAAGTCTAACGTCATACGCTCTTTGACTTTTCACACCCTGAATTATCCACTTGAACTTTACAACAGTTCAAGTGGATAATTCTTGAAGTTTTATCCAATAGTCTGAAGTTTCACACAACATCCAATTGACATAAGAGCTACTGGTCCAAGTTTGTTTGTATGGATGGATGTGCTTCTGCTGCTGGACACATGAATCACTGCTCATATTTTCACCAACTTAAATAGTTTGTTTTGGATCAGAGCGAAATGTTACTGAAGGTAGTGGGACATTAGAAGAAGATGAAGAAGAAGGTCCTTTATTCGTCCCACATTGGGGAAATTTCAGTTTGATGCACACACATACACATATATTGCACTACATTCTTTACTCTTTCTTTGCAAATCCAGGCAGAGAAAACTGAGATATGAATCAACAACTGTTAAAGAGACAAAGAAACAGAAAAACACAACATTTGTATTGGATTCTCTGCAATACTCGGACCAAGTGAGAAGTGTTTGGTAGGTTTTCTTTCATCTTTTTATTTCAAACACACACAACAATAACCTAAAAAAATAAAACATAGACAGCAAAAGTATAGAAAAAACAACATGCAGACATACAATATTCACAAAACGCTTCCTCCAATGATTCCAGAGCAATGGGGGAAGTTAAGTATATTTTCTTCTTGGCAAAAGGCCCTGAAAAAACGGCGGTGTTGTGACCTACAACACGCTGAGATGAGTCTTCATGTTTCACCCTCAGACTGTAAATATTAACGGATGTAGTCAAGCCTTTCTCCGCCGTTGAAACTGATGTGCCACCACATTTGGCACTGTTTCCAATTGACACTTGTCACTTTTGTTGTACATAATTATTGTCACTTTTATTGTACATATATATCCTGCATGTAACATGTTTGCACATTTTCTCCTTTTGCACAATCTGAGTGTCCTGTCCATGCCAAATATGACATGTAAATTTCTCCTCTGTGAGATAAATAAAGCACATCTTATCTCTTATCTTATCTTATCTTATACAAGAATGCATTGAATTGATTTGTATAAGTCTTCAAAGGAATTGGGCCTAAGATGGAGCCTTGAGGAGCCCCAAAATTCAAATAGACAGTTTTGATTGTGTTTTCTCCATTTCCCAAAGACTAGACTAGCATAAATGTGTCTGTATTAGTCATTTTTTTGGTATATTATACGTGTCACAGACTTTGCACAGATCCAGGATCAGCTGCTGCTCTAAAGTAGTTAAAGCTGCACTAACTGACTTTATTTTTGTATTAATTACGAAAGTGCTATCCATGTCCATGTAGTGCATTGGGATATACGTCCTTTTGAAGAAAAAGTAGCGCAGATTTGTGCTGCCGTGACATAATATTTTAGATCGAGTTTTGATGAAACAAGGAAGAGAATGTGTTTCGGGTCGCGGATTGTGACCAATCACAGCGGACCACTAGCCCCCACTTTTGTGAGAAATCTACAGGTCCGTTAGCATAGACTGCTGAGTTAGCACAACAAGACGAGGAGCTAACCTGAAACTTTCTCGTCTTCGTCACCGGTTACTGCTTACACAGCGAGACAGCCATCCAAAAGAAAGTCTCGTTCCTCCGCGCTTCCCGGTTCTATCGTTCTATGGTCACGCCATCCACGTGCAAATCCATATCCATGTATTATCCATATTGGGAGACGCAGCTCCGTCAACAACAGTGGGTGTGTGTGGGGGCGATAGCTTCGTGGGTGCGGGGAGGGGAGCAGAAAGAGCGAGGCCAGCGAGTCCGCGGCTTCAAAATCCCAAAGTGCAGCTTTAACTGATCTTTTGACCCTGACTCTAGACCTCCGCCTTTAACCATCTTTTATCTTCTCCTGCGGCCGTTAGTTATCTCGGCACATTGGGTTCAAGGAATTCTTTATCTCTTTGTTTAAAATGGTGTTGTTTTGTCTTATTTGTCGACATTTACGGACAATGGTCATCTACCCCTTATGGACCAATCATCATTGACTTTCTTGTGTTTGAACTGTCTGATTCTCTGATCTGTGTTGGCAAATTCAATAGTTTTGTATAGCTACTGTTATACAGGGCTATACAAAATTAAATTGAAATGAACTGAAGAAATTCTCAAAGGAATCGGGCCTAAGATGGAGCCCTGAGGAACACCTTAATTCCAATCATCTGTTTTTATTGCGTTTTCTGCATATCCCAGAGACAAAAGTAGCGCAAATGTCTTATTAATCAACAATTATGGACATTGGTCATCTGCTCCTTATGGACCAATGTCTCTGTGTTTTTTATCATTGAATTTCTTGCGTTTTAATTGTTTGATTCGCTTGATTTGTGTTGGCAAATTCAACGGTTTTGTAAAGTCCTAGAGATTTTGTATATATTATTTTTTTTAGAGCTATACAAGCATAAATTGAGTTTAACTGAATCTGAACTCACAATTTGACTTGTATTTGACCCAACGACTTTGTCTCGGACTAAAATCATCCAAAAACAGAAACAAAGATGTCGCTATCTCTAACTTTTGGAACTCCAACGGCGCGATTGCATGGTTTATGAAATCGCGTGGCGCCATCTTTCCACCACCGGCTGCATCTCCAGACCAACCAATGTCCCATGATGCACTTGGGGGCGGCCCGCAGTCCAGTTTTTGTGGGTGGAAATATTCGCTAATCCCCACATGTCGTCGCATCAGACAAAACAAACACAGACAAGCTGACGCCGCAGGACCGACCAGGCTCCACTTTGTTACATGAAGATTTCGGCAGAAACCGGAAAGAGACGTAAACATGACCTTTGAGCGGCGTGTTCGTCGTACAATCTGTTAAAAACATTGTTGTGTTTGTCTGTTTTGATTTGCACGGTTCCCTGCCCTTTATGACCGGCACTTTATGCTACTGTCACTTTATTCTACTGTCACTTACTGCAAATAGTGATGAAAAATAAATTTAAAAACACTTACATTTGCCA